ATGATCACAATTAAATCCCAAAATTTGTCACAGCTCTTCTCTATCCTTCGTGCTCGTCGACAATTACAATAATCAAAAAGTTATGAAATTTTCTATAGGATTATACAACACAACGAACCCGCACCATCGATTAGTAGTAAGAGAAAAGATTTTTTTTCATTACCAAAACTAAACGGTGTCTTTTGGGTGAGGAGCGGCGGAGAGAGCAAAATTTATGGATTTCTATCTCGACTTATGTGGTTTTGTTCTCGGTAGATGGTTGGATATGTCTTGGTTTGAGTTTTTGTTTTTGGGGTTCGTCAATCGGATGGTTTGCTATTGCAAAGGTATGCTAGTTCTCTACCTGACTCCTTAGTAGTTTGCGGTTGAGCTCAAGACTGTGTAGGGGTTTTGTTCTTCGATTCTTCTCTTGCGAGGAGGTGGCCGGGCTTTTGTCTGTAGGTGGTAGAAGTTGGCTCGATGTGTCCGAGTGTAAGAGTTGGTGATCCTAATTAGTGTATCCTCAAACGGATTTCAAGGTTCTCTTCCTTGAGGTTAATTCGATTCGGTTTCGTCGTATCTTTGGAGCGGCAGTGATAGTAACAGTTCTTGTGCTTTGTGCTACCGTGGCTCTGATGTCGTATTCATAAGAATTTGAATTTGGCCTTAGCATGGCTCATTTACTCTAAAGCTTAGTTTATGAAGGATCCGACTTAGTATTTCAAAAACGTATTCCGGCTTTGTATTTTAGTGAATTCCGTATGATACAAGAAAAAATGTTGGTTCGTTATAGCGGATGTAAATAACAGAAGTTTGCGGAAGCTAATCTTATAAAATCCTAAATGATTCAAATCGATATCAGACCCGTGCGGTTAGAGTACTGGTAAATGTATTACCTGTTTACCGTCTGCATTTGTAGATGAGAGGTCCATCATATCTAGGTTTCTCTTCAATGGATTCTTGTGGCTCTGGCTCTGGCTGCATCCTGAGTAGAGTCTCGAGTGTTGTTGTTCGTAGCGATGGTGTCTTCTACGCGGAGTTCTGACCTGTCCGAAGATGGGCCATGCGTACCGGAGAGAGCTCTTACGCAGATTCCATGCATGTACCTCTCAGTCCTTGTATTTATGTTAATTTGATCCGTCATGGCTCAATTCCTGGCCTCGTTGTGTTTATGATTTAGCTCACGATGATAAGACTCTCTATTTCGAGAAATTTTTCTTGTCAGGAATACATGTTAATGCTCGTGAAGCTTTGTTTTTCTTTGATATTGATTTGGATTGTTGATTGGTTTCTTGATAATGGATGATTCGGAGGTCTGTTACTGTTAGTCTTCCTGTGCTTTCCTCTTCTTTTTTTTTTCCCCTGTGGAATTGAATCTGGAACTGTAGCTTGAAACCCTAATCAAATTGTTGGCTAGCTTTCGTACAAATTTACTGAATTTTGGAGAATGATCACTTCTTTAGTTAAGATTGGTCCAGAGATAACTTTAGCTAATAAATGGGGTTAGTTTGGCTGTTTCTGATGAAAGCTTTTCATTCCTTGTTCTCTCCTATTCCATTCATGGTCACGAAAGCTGGACAATCTTATATTCATCCTCTCTTTAAGGCCCTGATGAAAACCCTGAATCTGTGTAGGGAGCGTGTTCTACAAAAAGGGATTGTGATGCCGATGGTGACTCCTTGGATGAATGTAAGCATTTCTCAAATCCTTGAAATGAGTTGAGGAGAAGATAAATTCAAATTCGTCCTCTATATGCAACATTAACCAGTCTCCTACATTATGAAGATATACACCTGTTCTTGCAATGCAACATGACTTCACACATTTCTGATGTTTGAACTTTTCATAGCAACGCATCTTACTTGCTATCCTGTCCTCCTTGGTAAACCTGATTTGTGTAGCTTTCAACCAACAAGACATGGCTACTCGCAAAATGTTTATTGAATGGAGTTTAACCTTTAGTCCCTGGGTATTGATGACACAACAAATTGGCAACTCCTGGATGGAAAGGAGCCAAAGGAATATCTTAATCGTAAAGAAATATATGAGGCCCGTAGTTGGTAATTTCATCATATGTCATCAGTTTTAATAAACACTCATTTCTGTGTGAATAAAGTTGCCTAATTGGTAGGCTATCTGAGTTAGAATTAAATCATAGAAATTGTATGTATTGCAATTTTCAGTCAAGAGGATCGGGCAGGGATAGATAGCACAGCCGCAGGTGTCCGTGTCTGTATTGTAAACCAGCTCCTGACAAAGGTTAGCCAACAATCAAGCTATTAGCCAAAATATTTTTACTTCTTTTGTCCAGATATGGCCAATACTTTTGATTTTTCCAGATAGATGGCGTGGAGGCCTTGAACAATGTCTTACTTATTCGAATGACAAATCGGAAAGATATGCTTGATGAAGCCCTTCTAAGGTCTCTGCATCCTTGTGCTAATTACTAGTGCCATTTCGTTTACTTATATGTACTATGAGAAGGATGCCATCCATGTTTGCTTATATGAACTTTGACTTTGGGTTGAATAGGCATAGAAAATAATGTTTCCGAGTTCTGATACAGTCATACAGGCCTGGAAGATTAGAGGTTCATATTGAGATTGTCCTTTCCGATAATACTGGACATTTAAAAATTCTTCGGATTCATACGAAAATGAAGGATAATTTTTTCATTGCTCTTGATGTAAATCTCCAAATTTTTGGTACGGCTTCATCGATTATACTTGTCTAAATCATTGAAGATGCCAAGCACTGTTCTACATCTTCATAAAATCTGAATCTTGGCATGATATGTTCAGTTTTTTTATTGAAAAGCTGCACATACGAAGAACTACAGTGGTGCTGAGCTTGAAGGTGCTGTGGAAAAGGCAATATCATATGCTTTGAACAGACATCTGTGCATGGAAGGTCATACAATACCAGTGGACGAGAGAATATGAAAGTTACAATGGAGGATTTTATTCGAGCTGTATGCGAAGTTAAGCCTGCTTTTGAAACCACTCCAGTAGACCTTGAAATGTGCAGGTAAATTTGTCTACAAATTAAAGTCTTGTGCTGTTCACACAATTTGAGTAATCTGTACATTTTTCAACATCATGTTACTTGCTATATATGATATCATCCTTTCAGACCTGATTTTTGTAACTTTGTATACAGATTATCAACCAACGCTGCTGCTAGCAATTACTTATGGTACTCTAGGCCTGCCAGGTACTGAGGTATCCACTCTTTCTATAAAAAAACCCTTTTCGTAAGATTAAAAATTGCTAGGAATACGTAGAAAAACGGACCTTAGAGAATAGTTAGATGATTCTATATCTATCTTCCATTGTATAACATTCTGTCAGGATCATAGCAATTTGTGTTCTACTTTGCAGCATAGGGAGAATCTTTAGGTAATGATAAAATCCTGAATCTATGTAGGAAGAATGTCCTGCAGTAAGGGATAAGATGCCGATGGTGACACCTGTGAATAATGTAAGCATTTCTCAACTCTTTGAAATTCGTAATGAAATTGTTAGTGAATTGAGGGGAATTTTGGGGTTTACACAGCTGAATCATCCGCTCGTGTATGGGGTTTATGTTATTGAGAGGTTGAATTTGAGTTTCGGATTAGGTATTTCGACAGGAAAAGCTATGGAAACAATCCCTTGTTCTGTTTAAACATTTCTGGGTTTCAGTGGAAAAGTGTATAATCGAATGAAGCATTTAGTAGTAAAAATTGCAGCATTGTATAGCATAGAAAGTCATGAGCTTTACAATGACATTCTCTATCATGCAGAATATATAAAAGTATTGTGATCAAACTGTATCTGTATGTAGTTCTCCCTGTGATCTAGGAGTTGTACCAGCATGTTACAGATTAAGCTGAAGCTGGAAGAACTGTATGAAAAAATATTTCTTATGATGAATTCAGGCTGTTTAGACTAGGATAAGTGATTAATTGGGCAGTTTTAATGTGCTGTTTTGTGAATGTGAAAGATTTGAATTCGTACGTATAT